CATTTCTTAAAGTAAGTTGAGTGAGTAATTCTGTCAAATGAACTAGTGTGTGTTAATGCAGCTAATTAAACAGCTAGTTAAACATGGTGCTGGGAGAGAGCAAGCAGGTGGACGGAGCACAGAGCACCATGATCCAATGAGAAATGCAGAGCTGGCTGCGACTCCAAATTAAAACTCCTGAGCAAACATGTACATTTCCACTAACATTTGATATTTATTAGGCAGTGCCAAAACATCATGTAGTCACCATTTCTGCTTAGCAATTGGCAAATATTCAAACACAGGCTGAACAAATCCCATACAAGTTTAAGTGAGATTTGAGGGGTTACAGGAAGATTTTCAAGTTGTGACCCTCACAAACCTGTGGGAAGAAAAATGGTAGGATTATGAAAGACAGCTTTGTTCCTTCTTTTCCTAAGCCTGAAGACTAAGATAAAGCTATTTTCCTTAGGCTTACAAGTGAATGAGAAATTGCTGACCAAGAGGTTGCTTAATTCGGAAAAGATTTTTCTCCTTAGACTCCAAATCGCTTCCAATCTACTGGTGTGCCCTCACTAATCTGGTCAGAAATCGAAGGTGGGCAAACAGACCTCCCCGACGTTGCTGAAGCAGCCTCTTATCACTGGTTTCACACCTGTGCCAGATCAGACATCTTGAGCATCAGTTTTCCTATTAGCCATCACAACTCTTAGGTCTAAATTAAACCCACACATACTGCCTCTCCTAAAAGCAATAAGGTTTGAAGTGTGTCGGCTTTGATTAAGACTGGACAATTTGACTAAAAAAAATAATACAGGAACCGAAACAGAGACCTGTGTCTTGAAACAACAAAAATGTTGTTTATATCTGAATCAGATCTAAAAGCTATGATTTACCACAGATATGCCAAAGAACAGCTGACTGGGGGGGTCCACTGTACTGTGCAGATGGAGTAAGAGTCTTTGCCGCAAAGAACTTCCACTGTAAATCAGCATTTAAATCTAAATCCCTTCTAAGCCTGGGTCCTTTCCCATGACCTCCAAAATCCAGGTATAACACAGTTACTTCACCCAGGATATCAAGCTGTAAAATAGCCAACAAAAAAACAAACCCAACAAAAAAACAAACCCAACAAAACAACAACAAAAAAGACCTAATTAAAACATCACAATGATTAATCATGGGAAATAAATTCTGAATTTTTCAGTTAAATCCAAAAATAAGGACTCATGGATATTTGCCACTCTATGCCCAAAAAGGTGGCCACGGCACAACTGAGAATTGTCCACAATTAGAATAAAAATAATAAAAACAGCCTATTTCAGTTTTCTCAGTCTAATTAGTTAACACTACCAAAATAGTTCAGAAGTTTCAGTATCTGCTACCAAGCCATCAGCAACTCCTTCATGCAAATAGGCAGGTGCCAAGAAAAGCCAACAGACTCAAGAGACCTTGCAGCAACGTTTCTCTCTACCATGTCCACATCCACCGCGCAGGAGTTACTTCATTTTTACTCCTGTAATTCTCAGCACCAGAGCAATCTAAAACCCAGTGCTGCCATTTGCTGCTGAAGCTAAGCCTCCCGCTAACCGCATCGCACAACCTTCTGGCCCACAATCACCATTCAAGATGACCCAGGCTTACAGTTTAATCTAATTATGATTTTAACCATCCACTGATGCTGCAACTACGCAGGTGACACCAGGTCTTAAAGGCTCGAGGGGGGAAATACCCTTTCAGCTCCAGTGACATAAGTCAAAATCCCCAGCAAAATAGGTAGGAAGCTGCTTTGCTGACACAAATTCTAACAAACCAGCGGGGAGAGGCAACAAGGAACAATCTGGCTCTCTCTTGCAGCCAAATAGGTTTTAAAAAATAAGAAAGAACCAGGCCTTCCGGAAAAGACAAACTGATTTAGCAGTTCTGTAGGAGGGCTGGTGTCTCGTGACATGCATTAAACAGACCTGTACTGAAGGCTCCAATCTGGAAGCTGAAAACTTGGTTCTCTACCAACATCACAGCAGGACTGTAGAGATTAGTGCGAATGAAATGCTTTGAAAAATGAAAAGCATTAGGTAAGTACTAAGTATTATTAAAGCCCTAAAAATACGTAGGACAGAATAATCATTATTCACTTGAAATTACTTTACTGTGAAAATATTATTTTATTTATAAATTAAATGCATTTTATATTAAGTAAAGGCAACCACTGATAAGCCAAGTAAATAGAGTCCTACAGAAAAAAAAAGTACAGTGCAAAATAGTACAAGTAAGAAAACAAACTACTTCCTTATCTGGTACCAACCAATATGCCTTGGACCCATAGAGACAACTTCCAAGAAACATGAAGAACTTTAGGTTTTTCAGTCTGGCCAAACATGAACCCGTAAGTCTAGGAGATAGGAAAGAGATTTAGTCACAGGGACAGAAACGCTTTCTTTGACTTTCAGTTGGTAAAGAATAGGGGCTTTTTTGGTCATGCTCTGCTGTCATTTGTATCTCTATCTTCTCCAGATGAGACTGTGGCAACCTATTCTTCCTGGAGCTATTTTGTGTGGAAACAGAGCTCAAGTCCCAAACTTCTCGCTGACCCACTATGCCCCTCTCTACAACTGGTATTAGCTGTCAATGTCCTGCCACTCTAAAATAACAAAAAATAAAATCTCTAAGTGAATGGAAGATACAACAACAAAAAAGAACTTGCCCTCCCAAATACTCTAGCAGAGCTGTTAAGGACAGTATTTCTTCAGATGCATTAGCAACAAACACCTGTGAAATCTGTGGCCTCCAGAAGAACACAATGCCTTTCCACTTGGAACATCTGAATTTTGTACTCTAGAAGATATGTAGGGGCAATTTTAAAAGTTTCTTAACAATCCAACCCTCTAATCATACACAGGCATAACACCCACTTTAAAGTGTGTGCTAAAGACTGGGAGCCCAACTGTCCCTGCCAAAGAGAACATCCAGTTGAAATTTCTGAAAGAAAAACCTTGCATTTTACATCATGAAAAACATCACCTCTTCATTCAGAAACTGACTACATGTGGTAACCTTATCTCTAAGAGTATTGTACTGTATGTTCTGTAGTTGACAGGATGTAACTGTACGTTTTTTTTAATGTATGCATCATACTTTACCTACAAGAGTAAAATTTTCCAACCTCAGCAGATTTTGTTCCACTGACTGCACAATGGACAAAAACCACAACAGCTAAAAGACAGTCTCTAACCTTTGCAAAAATTTTTTTCCTGAATTCCGCTCATGCTTCTAAAATAGGAAAGTGGTTTGTTGTGTGTAACAATTAATTTCTCTGTACCTTTAAATACAAAATTCCTGTTATCAAGGGCAGCCTTTTAAAAATTTATCTTTGCAGAAGAGCTGAATTTCATCTTACATTATTTGAGAAGGTGCTTTGAAGTGTCTATTTCTAATCCTTCAATCTGAATGACAAAGGAGTTATTTGCAATTGTGAATCTTTAAAATGCAGATCTGAACTGATGCCTCTATGTTTTTGTAACTCATTAACACCAACTCTTCAACTCAGCCTTTACTTAATGTCTTTGTTCCATTCCAAAGTGAATCCCTAGTGCTGTCTCTTAAAATGATTACTCTTGGTGAGTCAGTGTTTCCACATGCATATTCTGAGACCCAACAAAAATTCAATTTTCAAAGACATCTGAAGTAACATTTTCTTTATCTGCTACTACAAAGTGACAGACACAACTCAGGATCCCCTATTGTTCATGTATTGTACAAGTCTGAAAATAGACAGCAACGGGATTTGCGGCTGGCAGAGCGGCTCCAAAGCTGAGAAAAATTTTTCTACAAATTTTACACAAAAGCAGAAATGGGGCTCTGGGCCCCGGATCCCACATGATCCAGCAGATGCTGTTTCCAGCTTCAGCAAGTTTTCATTCAGAAGCAACTGCCTCCATGTTCAAGAGTGCCCCATGGATCACATACAAGAACCTGTCAGCCTGTGTAAATGAGAGGCCTGATTTAGAATTACAGCAAAAATACAATAACACAACATTTTTTTGGGAGAACTAAAAAACTGCCATACCACCATTTCCCCGTCATCTCAAAGGGGTGCAAATGTATGGTTCATGATGGTCCCACATGAGAAGCACCAAGCAAAACCTGTATCTCTCAATTCCTCAAAACTATGTATTTTTACTGTAATGTTAATGCTTGAGTAAAAGCTACATGAGAAAACTCATCCATGAGTCTTCCCCATGGCATCTATGAATTTGGAAAGTTACAAATCTTTGGTTCAGGAATGGCTCAAAAGGAAAATGAATCCACAGTTACTATTTTAGCTCCCTTTGAGTCAAAGCGTTCTTTTTCGCTTCTGCTTTGGTACCTGAAACTGACTGCTCTGACCGGCAGGATGGAGGCCAAATCCTGCAACTCACACCTGCTCAAAAATGCCAAAACCAAAGGCGGAGGAGCCAACGTGGTCTCCTGGCCACCTGAGAGCCATGGTGTGCTGCTTTTCTCACAGGTAGCCCCTCCGTAAGGAGCGACCTCCTCACGCTGCTGCAGGAACCTGGGGACCTGTCAGGAGGAGATGGGGCCCAGCACCCTCACCCCGACACCCGCAGCCCTCGCCCCCGCCGCTCCACCCCTCCGGGGGAGCCCGAAACTCCACACACCTCCCCTGTGCTTTGCACAACAGCCTTATACAATAACAGCCCTACTCGCTGGGCTGAGCCTCCCAGTTTCCCACGTCCCTTCCCTGCCCAGACCTACTTCTCCCATCCCTCCCTCCTTCCCTCCCTCCTCCCTCGGGTTTCACCTCGCCCGCAGCCGGTCACAGGCCCGGGCCTCGCCTCCCTGTTGTGGGGCGGCCTCACATCAGCGGGTGTTCCCGGCCGGGAGGCGCCCACCGCCCGCCCGCGCTGCCTGTCCCCGGCCGGGGGCGGCGGGTCGGGGCGGGGGCGGCGGCCCCGCCGAAGATGGGGTGTGGGTGGTGGGGAGGGGGGATGTTGGTGGGCGGCTCGCCCGGCCGCACTCACCTCCTGAAGTCAAAGGGCATGTTGGTGGCGGGCCCCGGGCAGGCTGCGGGCCACGCCGCCCCCGGCCCCGGCTTCTCGCCTCGCTGCCGCCGGCTGCAGGGCCAGGAAGTGACGGGCCCCGCCGCCGCGCAGCACCAGCCCATTGGGCGGCTGGAGCCGGACGCCGCTTCCGCCGCCGGGTTACGGGCAGCGGCGGGAGCGGCGGACCCCGGGGGGCGGCGGGGCTGAGGGGCGGCGGGCACCATGGGGAGGGGGCACCCCGCGGGCCTCGCCGCGCCACAACCCCGCAGCCCCGGTAGCTCCCCAGGGGCCGCGGGGGAGGCAGCGCCTCTCAGCACCCCACAGACCCCTCATCGAGGGGTCCCTCGATGCCCAGCAGCCCCGAGGGCTCTGCCGGTACCCCGTGGTGGTCTCCTCGGCCTTCTGTGGCCTCCTCAGCCGACCCTCTCGGTACCCGCAGCGTCCCGAGGGCCCTCTAGGCACCTCTGGGGCCCTGGCAGCCCCTGCTGCCCCACAGCCATGGGGTTCCCGGGGGTGATCCTGCCTGGCAGAGCAGGCCCAGCCCTTCGGGGATGGTTGGCCAGGCTCGCTGCCCGCGTTGGCACAGGGTGAGGGAGTCTGCCGGCTCCCCAGCAGCCTTCCCCAGCTGCCAGGGGCTGCCCCAGCCCAGGACAGGCCCGGGCCTGCAGGCCTGAGGTGGCAGCTCGCGTGGGTGCCATGTTTGGGGTTTTGTCGGGCATCTCTGTCATTCTCAGCGTCACAATAATAACAGCTCACGTTGGTGTCTGCAGCGCAGCCTTTTCTCTCTCTGGAGTCAGAGTCAAGCCACAGTGACAGAGAGGGGGAAAGTCTCGCACCTGGAAGTGCCCATAAAGGAAGGAGGAGCACCCCTGCACCCCCACGCACCTCTCCCCCAGAGAGGGTGGATGCCTGATGCCAGCATGGCCCTTTCTCTTGAGGATCCTTCTGCAGCATTACTGGAGGTCGAGGGATTAAAATAAGGAAAAGCTCCCCATTCTTCAGGCGAGACGTGTCCCCCGGTCATGCCGTTTTGCCTGAAGTACTGATGCTTTTGTCTGAGCATGTCCCCGCCGGGTGTAATGCAGTGCACATGGCTAATCCACACACCACCCCGGGTCCTTCACTTAATAATGTCACCCACTAATAGCATCAGTCAGGGACTTCTTGCTGCAGGTAAAGCGTGACCACTGCTGTATTGAGATGTGCTGTCACTCACCTACAGTCCGCATTAGATGACAAGGCAGGACAAAATACAACTGGTCTTGCCTTTTAAGTCTAAAAGCAGGGCAAGAGAAAGAGGGAAATGACAGCAAACTAAATATGTTGTGTGCAACATACTGCATTTCTAATTGATTCTGCAGCTTTCTTCCTCTTTCTCCTGCTGGCATCATCTCTGTACTTAGAGATTCACACTGTTACATTTTTCCTTTCACCCAGAAACAAGGTCCATACCTGGATAAAGAAAGAAATTCAGATTGAAACAAGCAGAGAAAAACTACCGAAGAGCTAAAGCTGTTAATCAATGCCATAATCTATCAAAGCAAGGGATAATTCATCCTGGGAATATTCAAAACCAAACTGGAGGAATCCTGGGGATGAGATAACATGGCACAATCCCTCAGAAGCCCCCAGGGAATAGATAAAAATACCTAATTGGTTTTTTTTGATCTCAGACGTCTAAATTATCCAACCGCATTGTGCAAGCATATTCAGCAGATTGCTAACTGATCAGCCACGGAATCCTGCTGCACTTCGCATTGTGCTCCAAAACTGAACAACCCACTGAAATTAATGAGACGATTCTCATCTCTCTCATGAGGTCAAACCGATTACACAGGCATAGCCAGCGGGTACTATCTGTAGTGGAAAAAACAAAACAAAACAGTGCCTATCAAGTTAGAGTTACACAACCAAGTGCTCGCCGAGGCTCCTGGCAAGGCTCCGGTATCATTAGCTGTTATTAACTGTCTTGTGCAAAGGCATCAACTCTCTCAGGAGCCAAGAGAGTGCTGAAGTGGTTACAAAAGCACTTCACTTGTACGGCAGACAAATCTTGAGGTGGCCTTGAAGAGTCGTTCCTTTTGCAGGCTCGAGGCTCAGGAACATCAGAGCTCACATTGTGAAGATTTTGTTTGCAACTAAAAGGTCAAACTCTGAAGAAAGTAATGAGCTCAGAGCTGTGCCAGGACAGCTTTCTGGTTGGGTCCAGCTCACTTACATCCTTGCCAAGGGAAGAAGAAGTTAATGCCCTGAGATAAGACCCTCGTCACAATATTGTTTAATTACAATTACATAAGGCTTCTAGTGAGCCTGAGATAAGAACAGGAATTTGTCCTCGGTCCAGCTGGGTGCGGCTGCTTAGATCATGTTGTGTATTAGAATGGGAACTAAAAGCACGGGTTTATTCGAGGTGGTTGTCACACCATTAGAACTGGAATTAGTAAACTGATACTGACAACTGATTTAAAAGTTAATTCCCTTTTTCATGTGAGCAATAAACGAATATTTTCCTGACAACAGTAGCCCTAAAACTATCTATTGCTTCTCTTCAAATTGCATTAGAAACATTAATTGAGATAACTCAACTGCTACCTTGAAATAAGTAAGTAAATATTTAGAGAACTCTTTTATCAATGAAGAAACTGAAGCAGAGGGATGAATTGACTCACCTAAGACTATAGAATAAGATCAGCTTCAGCTCTAAAATTAGCAAACAAATCCCTTCATTCCTAATTCTGTGTTCATAATTGTTCTTGCAAAAAAAGAGTATTTTCCTCATTCCAGTTCACTTTCATATAGATCAATCTGATCATGGGTGACTCTATCTGAATTCCTACCTAATGCCTCACAGTAACAAAACTGGTACTTCCTTCCTACAAAAAAAAAGTGGCCAAAAAGTGCTTTACTTGAATCATCTTCCTGGATTTTTACTCCATAAATTTGTTGTTTCCTAGATGTTCCTAATTTCTAGATGATGTGCTATTCTCTACTTTTAAGTTCACATTGTTTATATTAATCCTTGCTAATTGTTACTACCTCTAGTTTGTAATCTCTAAATTTCCTTTTTCCCAAGAAAATGTAACCTCATCCATACGCATTCGCTGTGGGTTTGGATAATGTAACATCTTGTACCACTCATGTATGATTTCCTCTTTTGTTTAGTTTGTGATTCCTTACACACGGCTGACTTTTATGTTAGCCTTTGGCTTGTGCTACGGCTCCTGCGGTGGGAATGTATTGTAAGTGCTGTGACTGGGTCATGAGCCGCATTGTTTGCTAAAGGTAAAGCTGGGTACGTACAGTCATCGTTTAGGTCAATTAGGTTTCGTTCATCAATTGGGAATGCGCAGTGACTGTTAAGGAAGGAGCAGTGCTTATTCACTTATGCCCCTTCTGCGACCGAGGTGTGTTTGCTCCCGGCTGAAGTGGAGCTTTTTAGTTTGTTGTGTGGCAGGGAACGCACCGCGAGGTTTTACCCTTGTGCTTTTTATTCCCAGGAGGTGCTGGTGGCGCCGGTGCCGGGGTGGGCTGGGGGCTGGAGGGAGCGCATTGCTCGGCAGGGCGTGTTTACTGGATTATGTGTTGTATTCTGCTGGGTGTGTTGCTGACTGCATGAAGCTTTAAACAACTGCCGTTCAGGAAAAGGAAAAAACATTTTAGAGAATGAAGAGAGAATGTTATAAAGCGTTTAAAAAATATAAATAACAGCATGGGAGGAAATCTTTCTGAAGGAACAGGATGGGCATGTAGGTGAAGAATTCAAATACAAGTGCTGGGCTAAGTATAATCAGTAATGAAAGCTCAGCCCTTCCTCTTAGGATTTTCGTAAGCTGCATGTTGACAGCACTTTCCAAATGCCAGGGAACAAAAGAGCAAGCTTTAAGTCTTGTTGCAGTGTAGTATGTGTTTATCATTATCATATATGTTACTCTGTCCATCTATTATTGCGAGACTGGACTTTAAATGGACCTTAGAATTAATTAGTATCTACTCAACTTAGTACCTAAGGTCCTTCTTTATTGGGTATCTGAGCTTTTACCTTAAGAAAACGTAACAACCACCTCTCTTCTTCCTGCTCAATATGCAAAAGAAATAATCTGATGATTAGATAGATGACAGGGCTGGGTACAGCTGCCATGTGTATGTTTGAGTAAGGAGAAGGGGGTCTGTGCAGCCACATGGCCTCTTCCTTGTCCTGTGACAGTGGGCAGGCACATCTTTGGGCAATGCTATGGGGAATCTACTGCTCTTAAAGTCCCTAGAAAATTTACCCAGTTTTTAATATGGTTTCTCTTTGTTTGCTTGTTTGCTTTTCGTTTGGGTGCCAGAAATTTACTACAGAAAAGTCACAGTGAGCAGAACGTTGTTGTATTTAGTTTCTTTTTTCACTGTAGAAATAAACTCCATAAAGAATTTTCCACTCCTGTCACAGGCTTGACTCATGTTTTCACATATAGCATCCCTATATCGGTTAGTGTTTAGTTCAGGACACAAATACATGAAAGGTCATGGCCAAATATTAACCAAGCAAATTAACAGTTAACTAGAGTGAAGTCCTGTAAAAGAGGACTTTGAACATTAAAAGAGAGATTTGGGATTAGCAGCAAAGAAAAGTTGAGGATTAGCACTTGGTTCTCAAAGGGGGAATGCTCTGTAGTGAGTTAAATGCCTAAATTCCCTGTACACTGGAGAGGAATAGTTAGGAACCTAAGGACTTGAAGTGTCCTTAGCTAGTGCACCAAGTGGCGAGATGCCTACGTCACCCAGTAGGAAATACTAAGAGAAGAGAACATCTGAATATCTCACTGTGAAACTCTGATACAGTACCAAAAAGTGTTTGCTTATGGGTTTAAGTAACATATTTGGCATGGACACCTGAATGAGTCTTCTCAGTGAAAAAATGCCTGGGAGATGAGCCACCCCCTCTACTTTAAATACTCACCAAGCGCTGAAGAGCACTGCCCTGGAAGCTTGTTCTGGACCTTTGAACAGGGAGTGCTGTGAGAAACTGTAGGGCGTTCAGGGGAAGGGAGGAAAGTGTGCTCTGCCCAGCTTCTGAAAGCTGAGCCTTGGTGTAACCAGGAGCACAAAAC